GAGAGAGAGAGAGAGAGAGAGAGAGAGAGAGAGAGAGAGAGAGAGAGGCAGATTGGATTAAAAGTCAAATATATACCCGTTAATGGTAAAGGCGGCGGAGAGTCAACAGGCGTGTCCTTTTCCACATGGCTTGGCACTTCGTCGATCGTCGTGACGTCCTTGTGATAATAAGCGGCGATCTCCATCTTTTTCTCGCTCATCAGTAAACTACTATTATTCGTCTGACAAGAATAAAGGGAACTCGTCGCAACGACGGCAGAGGTTTTCTTCGTTATATCTTCGGGAGCCTGATAAGACGAATTCCTCTCTTCGTCAGACGGAATCTCGGAAGACTTTGTGTCTTGGCACACATTATCTATATTGGTTGTAACGGTCTTTCCCATCTCCGAGCGGGCGTTCTCTATATTCGCCAAAGCGACTTTGTTGATGTCTTGCCTCACGTTTTCCGTGCTCGTCAACGTCATTTTACTATCGGATAGGATGACGCTCCTCGAACCGACAACGTTGCTGTCGTTCGCGAGCATCTTAAAAGTCTCGCTACCACGGAACGGCTCGTTCTCGTTGCACAATCCGCCATTCGCGGTTATCGTCGCTGTCCTTGTCGCGGCGATGTATCTGTACGGCTGGCTGCCGTTGCTGCTGAACTCTTGGTACGCCGCTGGAAATTCGTCCCCGTCCGGGGGCAGGCGCTGGCCGCCTCCGCAGTTCTCCATCTTACCATTTACCGTGTCTGGAACAGAATTTTCGAGTGTGCTTGATATTGAGTTCAAGTGTCGAAGTTTGAGGCTTCTACCACGATTGTTGTAGCTGAGATTCACACAGACTTAAATTCAGTTGGTCAAAGTTAGTTTAATATGTCGGAGGGAAAATGCAAATTCATTAATTATTGAGGCGATTGTAGGTTTTGTTTTTAATTACTATTTTTTCTACCTAATTTTTGGCCAATAACTGATCAAGAAAAATTGGTCGGTACTTTCCTGCCCAATTTCTGAACATTTACTGTCTAATAAATCTTATAGCCAGTAAAAACTGGCCAAATGACTAGTAACTAGTTTTTCTTGGAAATTTCTCTATTTAGTTAAGCAATAGCAAAGTCTATTCAGTTAGAATCTGAGATTGTGGAGACTTCTCGCGAAAGATTGTGAAATAGGCAAAATTTTTTTAACACATTTTGACCAAAAGACGCAGAGAATCATCTTATATTTGTGATATTTGTAATCAGGAGAAACATGCAGGGTGTTACAGAGTGTTTTAAAAAAAGTGAAAATAAAAATTGAATAAATCATTTGAACGGAACATTCGGCGCGCGGTGCAACACATAAGGCTATATTTTTATTAATTACAAATTTTCAAGAACTTAAATGCAAAATTGGGCACTGAAGCATCTTTGCTACTTATGCAAGGAAGATGTTAAGAAAAGTTTGATGATCAAATATAACATCGGCGAGGCAGAATACGTTAAGTTGCAGATACCACGAAAAGTGTAACTCAGCTGCATTAACTTGCAGTTGTTGCGTCCGCGTGAACGATACATTAATATTCGTGTGTATATGGATACACCATTACGCGCATAGAACAGTGTTTCGCGCTCTCGTCGCACGAGGTCTCCAAAGTCAAATCAAGATTCGCTCTTGGCAAATCCCCTGCTTTAATTTATATAACTCTTTCCTAAAAGGCATTATAATAGAAACAACGAAATTGTACGCTTGCTGCTTCTATTACGCATTTGACAAGCTGTCGTTTGCATAAAATGTCTGTTTCTTTTTCTGATAAGGTAACGGATTCAAGGTGAGACCGCGTCGATGGAATTTGAGCAGTGCTCGTTCAAATATCGTAGATCACGTGAATTCTTGCGGAAGACTCGAAACGAAAATATCCCACGCTTCGCGGAATTTTGAATATTTTACACTCGCTCTGGAAGTGGAAGTTTGCTTAAGAATTCCGCGGGAGATATTCTTTTCCGATATTACATTTTTATACTCGGAAATGTATAATGAGGGAATGTCGATTAGAATTTGCTTTTAATTTCCTTTCAACATCTTTAGATACACGCGTATAACTGTATATAAACATTTCTTGTTAACTTATTATGTCATGCTCTGAAAATGTGCTCGGAAAAGAAGCGCATCGACAGAAATATTTACACCATCAAAGAGCAAACCATCCGAGTGATTCATCGCTCGCGTATCGATACATTACACATAGCGGTGAGTGTATTACCACTCAAAAAAGAATGACATCATCTCTGCGGTTCTACATATTCTTCGTCTCGCGTGATGAGAGTTTTCGCGATTTTTCACGCTTGTTACATCTCGGAAAAGTGTTTGGTGAATGTTTTGAAACTTTATGCCGCATAAGATGCTTTTTTACCTCTGAAACACATTGCTGAGAGCAGAGAAAAGCGCAGAGAAGTTCTCTCGTCACGATTTACACCGAATTTCACGGCGCTCTATTCGTCGAGGTACACAGGCCGGTCCGCTCGCGTAGATTCGCGCTTTCCTCGCGCGAAGTGTGCGCCCCCAAGGATTTCTACATTCTAACGCGCGCCTACTGATAAAACATTTGCATACACGTTATCTATTCCAAGCAGGAACACTCAAATCGAGCGCGTTACGACGACGTCGTTAACGACGTGGCTACATGCATCGCGATACAAGCCGTGTGATGTAAATGTCTTACTTTGAATTTCTGTTACGTGCACGCGTGTATCGAAATATGTGCAATTGAAATTATCCCTGAAAATACGCCGCTCTCAAGCGGCAGAGTCGTAATTCATCGGTGGGCACGACGACGTCGCATTGCCGGGCGCTTACGTGTGCCGCCCGTAACTCTACGGAACTCCGCGTGCAATTTTTATTCACAGTTAATAAAGCTCGCCGCGTCGACTCCTGATTAACATTCCTGGCATACCGCGGCACGATGTAACTAATCGCCGATACGTATGCACGTGCAACACGTGCGACTTTCGCGCTGCCCGATGCTCCCCGATGCTCCTCGATGCACGTCCCGATCGCACCATATTTGTACCGGTATCAGAGACACGCGCACTCGTGTGCGTAAACGCGATTCTAATATGCGTGCTCGTATTTTGTGCGCGTGTACGGAGGTATCTGGTGTACATAATTAAGGATTCATATCGTATTTATTTGAAACTGGTCACAACGATTTGCACACGTGATAAATCTCTAAGGTCCGTACAGTCGTTGCTTGAAACTTGCCTCAGGTGAGATACACAGATTTGAATTCAGAGTTACATGTGAGTTTCTCAGTTGAATCGCGTGATTACAAATGTAATGAGGCATATATTATATAATTCGAAATTATATAATTTGAATTATTATATAATTCGAAATTGAAAAATTCAATCCAACTCTAAATTCAGATCTGATTATCTCACGTGAGACAAATTTCAAGCAAAGACTATTGATAATCAGGCCTAAGTCCTGTATTAATAATTGTCAGTTGAAGCTCGTCTCACATGAGATACTCACACTTTTATTCAGAGTTGGATCCAAGTTTTTTGGTTGAATTATGATGTATGCGACATTCATATTTGTAATCGTGATTCAACTCAAAGAAAAATTATCTAACTTTAAACTTAGATCTGAATAGGGGGAGACCAGGGTTATTTGGAGTAAGTTGTTCTTTAACAGATATCAGAATCAAGCAAGCAGGGATGTCAAAATCATCTTTGACATGTTTAACCCGGAAGTGGGCGCGTAAACGAGACCAACGTTAGTGGGCGCGTATCGGTCATTTCGACCGAAATATATTTAAACATATATATGTGTAATAATTAAGTAATAATTAATAAATTACCAAACCAATTATTAAATGAAACATAATAATTAAAGGAAATAATTTTATGATGTCACTATTTCTTCTTTTTCCCATCTTTTTTCTCCTTACCATTTCTATACCTAATATGTTTAAAAAACATATTAAACTTATTATACATACGTGAATATATTAAAAATAAAATCATAATGTTTTTATTTTAACTCCATTAGTAAAAAATGACATTCTTTTAGTTTAATAAAATAAAATAAGAATTAAAGATAAATAAATATTAAATAAAATAAGAATTTCTTGCTTCTCTCGTTTTACTTTGATTAACTTAAACATTGATTTAATAAACTTAAACATTTATTTGATAAATTTAGAAATAGAGAATAAATCTTGATTTAATGGCAATATTAAAATTATCACATTATGTATTATTTCAATAATTCAAGTATTAATTTTAATAATATCGCTATTGAATCAAGAATATACTTAATAATCAAGAATATAATTAATAATATCGCTATTGAATCAAGAATATACTCCTACTATAAAGATTACACGTACTGTTGAAAATTTTATTGATTCAACAAAAAAAGAGAGAACCGTCCGTCCAACTACGATGACGGAAAGATAACTACGATGACGAATAGACGTTCGGCGGCACATCGAGCGACGCTGACGCGATAGAAATAAAAGACTAACGTTAGTAGGCGCGCTTCGGTCTTTTAGACCGATTGCTAAAAACGTATCAAATTTCACATAGAAATAAGCGCGTTTTCGCCGTCTATTTCTCCATGCTATACGAGAAAACGTCAAAGAAAATTTACGTAAAAGCGAAAATACGATAATGTCAATAGATTAGATAATAGATTAGATATAAGTAGAAAACGAAAAAGTACGGGAAAATAACCGATATGCATCCACTCCCGGGTTAAAAATCTTTCTTGTTTAATTTTGTAACTCTCTTAGAAAATATTAGAAATAACCGGTTTGCTAACTTACCCCGATAGCCAACTAATCCCGCTCTCCTCTATTTCATTTAAGACGAGTTTCAAGTAATAGCTATTAAGGGGATGCTGGAGTTAATGACGAATTTCAAACAATGTCGATAATGCAGAGACGATCGTCACTAACATAATTACGCTATCCTTTTCGTATTTCTTGTATATACAGAACTTACATGAATGTATGTTGCTTTGTTTTACCATATTCAACGGAAAACCTAACCATATATGTGTATCTTTATAAATCTTTCTGCAAACTTTTTCGATATTCTTAAGCTTCCAAATGCAGATGCGAAGGTAGAGCAATGTTCTCCAAAATTTTTCTGTTTGAAGCATCCACACTTTCGGTATGTACAAGCTGCGGAACTTTTGGATTAGGCAAATATTACGCTGACAACTTGAGATTTTACATTAAAAATTTTTTGTTCGTTTTCGTCACATATCGAGCAATGCTCCTATTTATTTTTGCACATACTTACATTGCGTAAAAGCACTTGTAATTTTGTGCAACCAATACGACGTAAACTTTGCAGAAAAATGTCAGTGTTCTGTCGGTAAAGTCTTCAGCTTCAGCATCCCCTTAAAGCTTGATCTACAATGTGTTCTTTGCTTCCTGTTTCTTGTTTTCTGTTTTTTTTTTTTTTTTTATTTTAAGGTTTAAGGCTTGAGTCAGAAAGAGATAAAGAAAAAGTAACAGGAAGTAAATAACACATTATAGATCAAGCTTAATACGGGTCTAAAAATGTTTTGCTGAAAATATCTCGCTCGAGAATATAATTTTTGAATGGAACAGATGACAACGAAGATAACACTGTAGAACAACCATCAAACAAAATGAGATATCAATAATTCTTCGGTATACAAAATTTCTGTACACGTGTCGTTTCGAGATGATAAAGTAGTAAAAGCGATCGCGAGCACCGAACATCGTTCCATATAA